TCTACCCACCTAGAGAGCCTAGGGAGGCTAGGAAGGGGCGCCCCGAAATCCAGCCCATCTCCCCAGGGATCCTGGAACTGCAATGCGAGGCGCCTCCTTTCCCGAGGAGGGAGCTCTCCGCGCGCCCGGGTTTAGTGCCTCTGCCTGCAGATGGGCATCGCCGCTTTCTTCTCTGGGTTTTGTTTTCCAAAAGTTGTTCACGGGAAGTGGTGGGGTGGGAGGGGAGGTGGCGGGGGGGCGGTGCGGGGTGAGGGGGTGTTCTTGCCCAGGCCCAAAGGAAGACAAGTTTGCATTTTGGCTCAGTCTCGGCCCCTGGCAGACGCTCACTTCTTTGAAGATCTTATTCTCGATCCGAAATTCATTCTGGCCACCGCTCTCCCGAGAGAGAAATCAAACTGAACGCGACTTGATCTCAGACTGGTTTTCCAGCCTGAGGTTTTTCAGGGTGACTGTGGACGTGTCCCGCTGAGCCAGGAGCAGCTGAACGCGTCAACACAAAATAAGACAGACACATCTAAGGGTCACACACCGTGTGGGGTTTTGCTTGGGGAAACCACGCTTTTCTCTCGGAGCGAGTCTGCCACACCTCTGTGCTAACCCCCCCGCGTCTGGGCTGGTAGCGAACTCAGAGCCCCTGGCCTACCTGACCGGGCGCGGTCCGGGACCTCTGCGAGTGAGCGGCGGTCTAAGTTAGTCCTCGCTAATGCAAACTGAGAGCTACAAAAGCAGGCAGTTAATTAGAACAGTCCGCGTTTCTCACTCCCGCTGCATAGAGAGGTGTAAATCCCGAGGCATTTAAGGGAATTAGCTACATATGTGGGAAATCCTTGTGCGTATCCCGTTTCTCTTTTCCTGGTCTGTGTTAATGCTGCAAGTGGTATAGGGTTGCTGCACTTTAGTCACCACTGAGGCTGTTATGTCTTAGGGGATTAACTCGTCTGACACACACCCAAACTTCTGAAACTCCATAAAATAAAATGTAACACGGAGAGGCTGTCCGAAGAGAAAGGGATATTTGTCAGACGGACTGGGAAAGGGGACCAGTTTGGGGGTGGGGGAGCAAGAGTACATTTCTACAGTGTGCCTTAACTTTAAAATATTGCTTAGCTGGACTTTTCCTTAAATGGATAAAAGAATGGAGAGAGGCCAGCCCAGTGAGAGGAAGGGAGGGGATTTTGCCATCCCTTATGGAAACTGAAGGAGCGAGTCCAAAGAGAGGTAGTTGGGTCTTTGTGTCACTTTACACGCAGGTGTGGCCATAATGCCACAGCCTAGTGTGTGCATTCATTAAAAATTTTTTAAATTTGTAAACCACTGTTTCAAATAGACATAATTAGACAACCAACTAGGAATGGATCAGGTATGTGGGTACCTCGCTGAAAAGCAAGCAAAAACATCAACAATGCTGTGCCTATAAGCATGTACAGAAATGAAAGGTACTCACCTTGAATTACTAACTTTATTGACCTCTGTGTAATTGACAAATAGTCGGTTTTAGAGAATGCTTTCATTTATACCACAATTTAGTTCTGCCCTTTTACCTCAAACTAGATAGATATATGCCTATTTTATAAAGGAAAGATGGAAATCAATGTCATGACCTTAATATTAAATGTTCTTAAAAGTTTTTTCCAAATTAACCAATCTCTCTCTTTATGTCAGTTTCCCCCAGTTAAGCACTAATTGGTTGTTGATTTCCAGGGGTGGGGGAGGTGTTCATTTATATATTTTCTTTTTTGTCTAAAACCTAGACTGATAAACTACTTGTGCAGCTAGCTTTACATAATTTGGTGGGGCTGACTCCAGATGGTTTAAGTTAAACACGTAGTTTCTGAAACTTCTGGAAATCTTCTAGCCACTCAGATCCTGTTTCTAAAATTACTGAAAAGTTGGCATGCATGAGTTTATGTTAAGTTTGCTTCTATGATTACTGAGGCCATTTAGGGGGGAGAAAAGAAGTTCTATTAAGGTGAAGCAGGTGTTTAAGAAATCCTTTTGAAGATCTTGTTTTCTTTCCAAAGGTCAAAAGGAAGACAGTGGGTAGATGCTAGTATTTCTTCCACCATTTGTAAAGGATTGTAAAATTGGTGTGAATAGTAAATGTTTTTAGCTCATTATCCCTTTTTTCTAGTTTTCCTTCCTGTTATGGTATTCTTAGCCAGCTGAAGCTATGGCTGGTATTCTACAGATTCCTTTAACAAAGCAATTTTATTTGCTTGCCTCTAGAATGCCTGGAATGTACTGCTTTCTACTGGTTTACTATAATTCTGCAGGGATATTTCCATTGCAGGAGAGACATTACATAATGGAACAATCTAGATGACTCCTAAACGTAACTTCCACAAGGGCTTCTCTAGCCCTAACACACCAGATGCCAAGGTGTGAGTCACTTTGGTGAAGACATGGTGGTTGTCAGTGATAGATTGCCTTATATGCCAGGTAAGCACAGACATACTCGTTCTTCCTACTTATCTTTAGTGAACAATTTCACAGTTTTCTACCACATTAAAGATTCCACTTCTAGGTATGACTAGTGTCTATCTTAATTGTCTTAATTTCAACCCCACAGCACCAAATAGATCCAAAGTCTCTTCTAAAATTTACCATCCCAGACAGAGACAGAGCACCTAGTTTCACATCTTTGGTGTGGTGGAAATTTATGTGAAATTGTTCACTACACAGAAGTAAGTACGAAGAAGTAAGCCCATGCTTACCTTGATTTTTTAGTAATCCATCCCTGGCTGCTGGCCTCCAGTTAAAGTGTGCCCACCTTCCATCTTGGTTTGAATTCTACTAAGACTGAGAACAGTCAACAGGGTCAGAGACCAGGAAGAGGACCCTAAAGGTGCCAGGTGATTCCCAATGCATCAGGTCATCTGAAGCCAAGAGAAAGCCCAGAGCTGACCAAAGGAGAAAAGTTTCTGGGAGTATGGGAATTATTAGCTCAAGTAGAGAGAATGCTGGGGTTATATTTTAGAGGTGACTGTTGTAGGAGAAACATAGTCGGGCAGTTTCTTCATCTTTAGTCTCCAGTTCTGAAAACTTAGACATAAGGTCCCCTCCCCAGTCCCCCTACCCTTCACCCCAAGGTTGCACTTGGGCCCAGACTAGAAGGCAGCCCTGCCTGTGCCTCATTCACCCCCCTCCCAAACACGATAGAGCTTTTGCTGTACACAGGCTACCTCTCCTCCCTTCCTCCAGCGGAGCCAGGACAGCATCTGCCAACTTCCAGGCCATTCTCTTTGCGAGGTGCTAAGACAGGAGCTTATACCAGTGTAGGCCTCTGAGCCCCAATCCCTAGGACCCTTTAGGACCTCCCTCCAGGCTCGCCGCGGTTGCTATAACCACTTCCTTCTAGGGGTTGTTCGGACTCGGTTCCCCAACTCAGCTCCTCGTGGACTTGGAGGTGAGCGGAGGCGCACCTCAGTGTCTGCGCTCCCCAGCCGGTCTCGACCCTCCGCCTCCTCCGCGTTGTCCTTTCGGCCTTTGTCTGCAGGCCAGGCGCCGCTGGGCAGGACGTGACCCTCAGCGGCCGGGCCCGGAATGCTGGCGATCGATGTTGCCTGGGACGCTCCCCCTACCCCCGCCCACAGAATTTCTGGGCACCTCTCCCCACGGAGCGGCCGCCGCGCCCGGCCAGCGAGAGGTGCGCGGGCGGCTTTCGTTATTTCTGAGTCTTCCCTGCCACCGAGAGGTGCGAGGGAAGCGTGGAGGACGCAGAGGGGGCCCGGAGGTCGCCTCCTCCCTCTTCGTTTTAAGAAAAATAAACGGGGGGCGGAGTAGGGGTGCATCCGCTAGCAGGCACCTGACAGGCCTGAGCGCCCGCGTGCTCGCTCGGAGCCCTAGCGCCCAGCCGCCAGAGGGTTTGCACTACGAAGCCAAGGCGGAGGCGGCGAGTTCATCCCACCCCGGCGCCTCTGCTCCCCCGGGCGGCTCGGCCTGCTGGGCCTTCGGCCGCTACCCCCCTATCCCCCCCCCGGAGTATGGAGGACAGTACTCTGGAAGCGGGTGCTTCGGCGACAGGCGCTTGGTCCCAGGAAGAATAGAGGGGACCGGATTTCACAGCGCAGGCCTCGCTTCACGTTTGGGGCGAACCCCAGGTCCAGGGCCGGCTTGCTCCCTGCCACCGACTGAAAACAGCCTCGGGCGCGTGGGGCAGGCGGCCAAGGGCGGCAGCCAGGCCCGCTGCAGCGCAGGACTGGGCGTCCAGCGCGCATCTCAGCACCCCGCTGACCATGGACACCGCCCCCCGCAAGACTTGAAAATGCAATCCAGGTGGGGTGAGGAGGGAGATCCTGGGCTTCCAACCCCTATGGGTTCGCAAACATTTTAGGGATGTCCAATTTGAGGTGATTTCTGTGTTTCTAAGATTCAGTAGTCCTCTCACCTCTAGCCCCTGGGGCCCATAAGAGAATAGTGGGACTGTCTGCTCGTGTAAAGATTTACAACCTGAGAAATCCTATACCGGGTCTCTGGGTCCGAATCCTGAGTAGCTCGGTGGAACCCGTGGGGCAAAGTACTTTCTGCACGTTGGGCCCAGATCTCCCCAACTCCTACCCCTTTGAGAAGTGCCCACTCTGAGGAGCCCTCTTTCTAGAATTCATTTTTGTTTGGGCCCTCTTTGGGTGGCCTCCTCCTCGAATTATTTCTCTCCTTTTCCCTTCTCCCACCCTCCTCCAAGTCACTAACCAAAGTCCCTGGCTTCTGTGGGATGCTCTTTCTTCTTCCTAGCCAGCTGAGCCTGGGAGACCTGGGTGCAGACAAATGGGGTAGGTATGTTTGGGCGGCACAAGCTGCTTTTCAGAGTTCTGTGCTGCAGCCCTAAGTGTGAATTTGGGAGGCTGGAAGAAAGGCTGCAGAAGCTACTCCTTGGGCCACTTCCATGCTAGGGCAATCATAGATGCTGCTCCCCACTTCAAAAAAATCCAAACCTACCTCTCAGGAGATGAACGAATGAATTTCAAGGGAGAGTTACAGAAATAAGCCTAGTAAGGGCTTCCCTGGAAGTCAAAGGCCTGAGTCCTCCCACTACCTACGGGCATTCAGAAGCCTTAAATACTGGCTGTTGTTGTGTTAAATATACAGTGAAAGTGGATTCTTGGGGGGGGGGGCGGGGATAGGATAAAACTGCCTCAAGGGAAGTTCTTTAAGGAAGCAGATAGGTAGTTTTTTTCTCCAGTGAAACTTCTGGGAGGTTTGAACAATCAGCTTTTGAGTTAACTGTGTTTGAGTTAGCTTAACCATGACACCACAAGGTTCCTTGCCTACTTAATTAAAACTAGTTCTTTCCAGGCGTTGCAGGACATTCTCCCCCAAATCATAAAAGGGCTTCGGCAAACCATCTACCCAACCCCACAACACAACCCTATTTTCCCAGGGACAGTGGGACTCTCTGGGGGAGAGTTTTTGTTTGTTTTTGAGGTTCAGAGTATTGCCCCCAGCAGATAATTTGGTGAGGACTCCTCCTTTTGGGGGAGGAGGGGTGGAGAAGGGAGAGAGATGTGAGTCAGCCAAAGAAGTGCCTGAGGGGCACAGAGGAAGGGAAAGCATCCTCCCCACCACCCTCCACACGCCCCTTGGGCTTCAGAATGCTGTGCTATCCCACTGAGTTGCCTGGCTCTACTATTTTCCAGCAACCCACAGTCCAACCACCTTTAGCCTCAGCATTACCTGGCCAGTACCTTTCTCCAGACCCTTCCCCCTCCTCCTCCTCCACATACTAATTTCCCTTTGAGCAAAGTCTTGGAAATGCTGCTTCTAGTCCTCCTCCAAGTCCCTGGATGCCCAGGGGCTGGAAGAAGGTGGGGCCTGAGCTGCAGTAGGGAGTAGAGGTGTGAACCAAAGAAGAGCCCAACCTGTCTAGGGTGTAACCTTGACACCTCAGAAATGGCCTGCCTGGCCTGCCAGGCTGGGAGGAGGAGTTTCTCACGGGGCTCCACCTTCATTCTTTCCTAGCCTGACATCTCCGAGCTTTGTTGGTTAGGCCCGCACCTGCGGTCTGATGCCATCCCCGGCTGCTCCCCATCTCTTTCAGCCAAGCCACTGCACCCCAGGACCGCCACATCCGTCCCAGGCCAGCCACGAGCAGGGTCATCTGGGGTTATCTTTCCTCTTCCCACGCAGTCTGTTTTCATTGTTTGGGCACGCCCTCACCTTCAGAGTTGCCCTTTGTGGTGGTTCTTGGAGTTCACAAATTATGTTAAAATAACGTTTGAAATAATGAGCTAGCCCCTAGGTGCGAACAGGAATTTTTGACAGTGGAATAGCTTGGTAGGGAAGAGAAAACAGCACGTGAGAGGAGAAACAAGGAAGGGTGGAAGAGGACACAGGACTTCTTGTTGGATGTTCTGGTGGCCACGGAAAAAGAAGTTGAGAACGGGGTTCCTAGAGGAAGGCAGAAGCACTTTGGGATTATTAGCTATCCGTTTCCACACTCTTCTCCTGTTTGGCTCATGACTCTTTCAAACGGGGCCTGCTCCTTTGCAAAAAGCAATTGAAAGGATTTTAAAACAAAGAAAATGAAATGAGCGTTCTGACAGCCTCAGAATCTGGGTAGAGAGGCGGGGGCAGGGTCGAATGGTGGAAGGGGCAGCAACTGCCCGCGGGTGCATTTGGCTGTAAGGTTAACCGTCCTCTTGTTTCCATAAAGATTAGGTTACAACGCACTAAGCTTCTGTATTTCTCCTTTCCCCAAACGGAGGCCCTAACGATATTCTGACACCCTTCCGGATCCATATAAATGTTTCATGAAGATCGTCATCATTGGGTAGAATGTTACCATATGCACTCCTCTCACTCCTCTCTCGGCACGCGCGCGCGCGCGCACACACACACACACACACACACACTCTCAACACACACACAACTTACAATAAGTGTCTACAGGAGGAATGTCCTGCTCCACACCTCTACGTTTAAGAGAAGAGGCTGCCTAGGTTACCAAAGTCAAATGTAAGTGACAATTGCCCTCTCCAACGGCAAGTAAGACAGGCAACAAACGTCCCTTTGTATCTCGGCACCTCATTTAATATTATTTATGCATCTTGTGCAAGGAATTATGGGATTTTCCCTACGGTAAACAAGACGGAATTGTTACAAATATCAATCTTGTAGCGCGGACATCTATACACGGCAGAGTGGCTTGGCAGAGCTGGGGCTGTGCTTTCTCAAGGCACAAACCAGCCTTTTCGTGAGGGAGCGAAAGCGAGCGGAGGGGACGTGGTCGTAGTCTCCCTGCGGTGGGGAGCTCACTCCGCTTGCAAACCTCATCACCCTGCACCAGGGCTCCGCGAGGAAGCGGCCGCTTTAAGAGGGGGGAGGAGTGGGGCTGTGAGGGAGGGGCCCAGGCCGCTCCTGTCAGTGATCGGCGGTCCGTGGATCACGTGGGCGCACCGCGCCTTGGCCATTGGCCCGAGGCACGTGTCCAGGAGACCGGCCCGCGACGTCACTCCAGGGGTCTCTATTAAAAATAAGAACAAAAATCCAGAGTGAAAGTGTTTCAGGCTCTGCTAAGTGGCCTCCAAATTCCCCCAGCCCGCGTGCGCCAGGAGGCAGCGGCCGGTGTGG